GGTGGGAATGCAAACTAGTACAACCACTATGGAAAACTGTTTGGAGGTTCCTCAGACTGCTAAACATGGAGCTTCCCTACGACCCAGCAATCCCACTGCTAGGGACCTCCCCAAAAGACACTAAAACACTGATTCAAAAAGACACCTGCACCCCCATGTTTATTACTGCTCTATTTACAATGGAAAGACATAGAAACAGCCCAAATGCCCAAAAGTAGATGACTGGATTAAAAAGATGTGCTACATATACACAATGGAATATTACTCAGTAATCAAAAAAAGAAACACATGTCTTTTGCATCTGCATACCAGATGGTTTCAATCATAGCAGGAGTATAACGGAACAGGCAAGAAAATAATAATAATAATGAACAGCTATATACCAGAGACATTTTATGGGGGTGGAGTGGGGAATGGGAGTTGGGGGAGTCCACTGGACTATGGCATACGGGTGATTTGGTGTTGAGAAGTCCACGGGGATTACAATTGAGATGGAAAAATGCACAAAAAGATGTAAAAAAAAAATTACTCTCACAACTATGGAAATCTTAATGGTCATTGATGATATTGTGTTAAGATTTATTTAAACTAATTTTGTTGTAATCTACTTGTGTATTAATATTTTCAGAGCTATGTTTTTATCACTTGCATCAATATCATAGAATTGATCTGCTAAAAACAATGTATGTATACAATTACATAAACACTTCAGTACAAACATTAACATTTGAAACTGCTATTAATATGCAGTCCTGGTGAGAAAAATAGTTGCTAGAAGATAATTATTTAACTTGCCTTTTGAAGAAAAGCAAGAAAGGTTGTTAAAATGTGAATGTAGGGCCCTCCCTGGTGGCGCAGCGGGTTAAAGCACAGCACTGAGAAGCTAAAGCCACTTCCGCATGAGCTCGATTCCCCCCCAGGGCGCAGCAGACCTCTCCTGACCCGCCTGCTGCTCCCCTCAGCAGTGTACTTGGTCGATCTGCCTGTTCTGCTCCCCACTCTGTCTCTGGTGAAGTCTTTTGCCATCCCTGAGTCTCTGGCCTGTACCCCAGTTCTGTACGAATAAATAAATCTTAAAAAAAAATGTAAATGTATACCACAGAAAACATTTTATTTTACGGTATATTTGAAAGTCAACATTCATCTCTTATTTTCATTTTTAAACAATTTTGACATTATTTCAATACACATTGTTATATATTTTTAAAATATCAAATATAAATAAATGTATTTGTATGTATTTCATCTTTTTATATTAATTAAAAAAGATGTGGTCCATATACACAATGGACTCTTACTCAGCAACTAAAAAAGAGAAACACCTGTCTTTTGCAGCAACATGGAGAGAGCTGGAAAAGGTCATGCTTAGTGAGATAAGCCAGAAAGAAAAGGAAAAATACCAATGGTTTTGCTCATAGCAGGAGTATAATGGACCAGGCAAGAAAATAAAAATAATGAACACTATATACCAGAGACATTTTATGGGGGTGGAGTGGGGAATGGGATCAAAAATGGGGGTGGGGGAGTGCACTGGACTATGGTGACGGCACACGGGTGATTTGGTGATGGGAAGCCCACGGGGATTACAACTGAGATGGAAAAAAGGGCACAAAACGATGTAAAAATGAACTATTACATAATTTAAAAAAAAGGCTTTTGTATAGCAAAAGAGACATTAAGCAAAAGAAAGAGACACCCCACTGACTGGGAGGAAAAGTTTGCACTCCACACAACTGATTAGGGCTTGATCACAAACATCTACAAGGAGCTCACATGACTTCACACAAAGTAAACAATGCCATCAAAACTGGGCAGAAGAGCTAAAGAGACACTTGTCCAAAGAGGAGGTGGAAATGGACAACAGGTATAGGACAAAATGTTCAACACTCATGGTCAGGGAAGTGCAGGTCAAATGAGAGCCACCCCACCTCACACCAGCGAGAACGGCACATGTTCCAAAATCCAGCAACAGCTGGTGGCGAGGATGTGAACAAGGAGCCCGGCTGCATGCAAAGCTGTGTGGAGTGTCTCAAACGCTAAAAACAGCTGCCACGTGGCCCAGCAGTCCTGCTCCCAGGAGTTACCCAAAGGGCACAAAAACATCCACTCAAAAGGACACTGCACCTGTGTCTCTCGCAACACTATTCACAACAGGTAAGCTATGGAAGCAACCCACATGCACAAACCAGATGAGTGGACCAAGAAGATGTGGCTTTGGGGCCCTCCCTGGTGGCACGTGGGTTAGAGCGCAGCACTGCAAAGCTGGTGGTGGCCGCTTCTGTGCGAGTTCAATCCCTGGCACTAGAGGTGACCACAGGGCGCGGCAGACCTCTCCTGACCCGCCCGCTGCTCCCCTCAGCAGTGTACTTCGTCCATCTGCCTGTTCTGCTCCCCACTGTCTCTGGTGAAGCCTCTCACGCCCCTGCACCTCTGGCCTGTACCACAATTCTATAGGCATAAATAAACAAAATCTTAAAAAAGATGTGATTATACACACATAGAATACTACTCAGCCGTAAAAAAGATTAACTCACGCCATGTGCAGCAGCTTGGATGGAGCTGACAGGGATTGTGCTCAGTGAACTAAGTCAGAAGGAAAAGAAAATAGTGAGAAAATACACTCACTTAAGGAGTGTGGGGGAACCAAATAGGGCATTAAGAAAGACAAATAAAAATAAAGAAATAAACAGGCAACTATAACTCGGACACTCTGCAGAGAAGGGAGAGCACAGGACTGTGCTGGGAAGCAACCTGGTGGTGGGAATTTTGCAGGGACATTTTACATCTGCGAAGAGAACGCAAATATTGTCCAAAAATGAACAGCGATGTAAAATACATACAAGTGGACATCACAATACATAAACCATATTTCAAACCAGACAAGAGCCTGAAAACTGAGGCTATCATGCCCACGCGTGAGCGCGCGGCGCCTTGCATCTGACCGGATGCCACACTCAACTGAGCACAAGCCTGGCCGAGGGCCCACTACAACGCCCGCCGCTGGACCTGCCCAGAGACCCCAGAAACAGACCTTGGGGCGGGGCTCACGGTGAGCACTGAACAGACGACTGGCCCAAGCCCTGGACTCGGAGGAGCACTGTCCTGCGAAGCCAGCACGCTCCACCACACGCACATGGCTGCGATGGGCTGAGGCTTCCATCCACTGCTGCAGGACTACAATCCCGGGGCACTGGGGGACACAGCAGGACAGGAGCCCGGGGCACTGGAGAACACAGGACAGGGGCCCAGGGTGCTGGGGGGACATAGGACAGGAGCCCGGGCACTGAGGGACACAGCTGTATAGGTGGGGGGCACAGCAGGACAGGAGCCCAGGGCGCTAGGGGGACACAGGACAGGAGCCCGGGGTGCTGGGGGGACACAGGACAGGAGCCCAGGGCGCTGGGGGGACATAGGACAGGAGCCCGGGGCACTAGGGGGACACAGGACAGGAGCCCGGGGCACTAGGGGGACACAGGACAGGAGCCCGGGGCACTGAGGGACACAGCTGGACAGGTGGGGGGCACAGCAGGACAGGAGCCCAGGGCGCTAGGGGGACACAGGACAGGAGCCCGGGGTGCTGGGGGGATACAAGACAGGAGCCCGGGGTGCTGGGGGGACACAAGACAGGAGCCCGGGGTGCTGGGGGGACACAGGACAGGAGCCCGGGGTGCTGGGGGGACACAGGACAGGAGCCCGGGGCACCAAGGGACACAGAAGGATGGGAGGGTCGTGCCCACCACTCAGGGCTCAGTTCATGCAGATTCAACACCCCAGAGCAGCGGCTGCCTTCACAGAGCCGGAAGTGTGAGGACAGCCCAGATGCAGGCCAGGTGACTACCGGCCAGGAGCCCAGCCACCGTGCCATCGGGCGCAGAACCCACGGCCACTCCATGCAGCTCCTGTCACCCACGTGCCCGCCCTTGTGGCGGGAAGGAAGGAGGTGGTCTCGGCCTCGCGCTCCAAGGTCCTTCTGGACCGAGCGGACTCTCTCTGCACTGGCCCCAAGTCACACCCTTTCATCCCTTGGAAATGCCCAGGCCGCTGGGTCAAGCAGAGAGGCACCAAGGAGGCCCTGCACCCGTAGGCTGCCAAGCTCCGGTTCCCTGCAGGGTCTGTGTTCGCTGAGGGCTGCGGGCACCCACCCCAGCGGGCTGACACACCCCAGGGCAGATTCAGTGCCCTGAGAGCCGGCTCGAGGCTGCTGACCCCTGAGTATCTCACAGGCCAACCAGCACCTAATAACCAGCACGCCCCAAGGGCCTGAACCTCACGGAGTCCGGTGGGAAGGCAGCCAGGGCCAGTCCACTCCTGGGCCTCTGCTCTGAGCGGCAGGGGCCGGCGGCCTCGCCACGCCTGACCTTAGGTGTCCCATGGCGGACACAGGGTAACTGGGGCCACGTAGCCCGGCCGCGGCCTTTCCGACGCTTCCCCGCACTCGCCACCTTGCCCACCACCTGCCGGTCTGCACGTCCTCGCTCCCCGGCCTGACCAGGCCTCGCGCCGCCTCCGCCGGCCTCCCTGGGCTCCTCCGCCTGAGCCGCGCGGCACTACCGGGGCCAGCACCGGCGTCTCCTCCGCTCACACCCCAGCGCCGCGCAAGAGACGGCTCCCGCGGGGCCGTGGCCCCTCCACAGCCAGCAGGCGCCACCCGCTGCGTCGCAGACGGCGCGCTGCGAACGCCCACGCACGCCCGCGGGCCACGAGACCACGCCGGCGCCGGCACTCACCCGACCACCATGTCCTTGGGCCCGGCCGTGACGGTGCAGACGCCGTCCTCGCAGTGCTTCCCCACCAGGCTGTGTGCGTGCAGGTGGACGCTCTTGCCGTTGGTGACCAGCTGGACGATGACCTTCGCGGCCCCCACGTAGTTGCAGATCTGCACAGAGCACATGGCATGGGTCAGCCGCGGGGCACAGGCACAGCGGTGAGGGGGCGCGTGCGGGGGTGGGGGCGGGCCCGACGCAGCTGCGGCCCCGCCCAAGCCGCCTCCTGCCTCCTCCGAGAACGCAGCTCACCTGCGCGAGTCAACGGCGGAAGCACCTGCCGCCACAGGCGGGCAGGGAGAAGCCCG